AAAAAAAAAAAAAAAAAAAAAAGGACTGGTGCCATTTTGCGCTACTTATTAGCCTTTGAATTTAAGCGGTAACTATACCTTTGGTCGGAAGTTGACAATTCTGTTGAGCTTTATGATAACACATGGGTTCCCCTCCATGAAGCCATAATCAGGGTCTGTGCCTGAGCAGTCTTTCAGCAAAGACCTAGAAAACTTGCAGACTTTCTTCTTTTCTTCCATACTTCGATCTTTGTACGTTCTAGGAGACGCTGAAAATGCCACAAGTAAGAAAACAAAATTTAAGTTTAGATCTTCAAACATCCACTCATGAGTGACAAATGGTGAAAGCTGATTGCATTGTATGATACTTGCTTCCACATTCCTCGTAGGAGTCCCCAGTCTGCTTTGTCTCATTGTACAGCTCAAGGAATTCGTTCATGCTTTGGACATACTTGCTGTATGAACTCGGATCACTCTTCTTAAAAGAAATTTCAGATTTGTCTGAGCGTGGGGTGTGTGACAGACCTGCAAAAACACCACACTGGTTTGGTAGGAAAACAAGTCATGGGACAAAAAAATAAAAACATCTTATTTAAAAAAAAAAACAACTCAATTTGTGTGAAAAAAAAAAAAGTAAATATCTTAGAGAAGCAACATGACATGGCACGTGAGCCATTGTGAGCATTCTCCATTATCTAAGGACAATGTGAGGGTCTTGGGGGTTTCCTCTGAGAGCTCCTCACAGCAGTAATTTTCCACAGAGCTGGTGCGCGAGGCGTGGCGAGGGGAGAGTGTGACAGTGAGAGTAGCTAGAGGCAGCATGACAGCCGCGAAACCCTTCTCGGCCTCGCCGCAGGACCTGTTTTATTTGCTGCCGCAGATATGAGCGGGACTCGAGCTGCCGGTTGAGACGGCGAGAGGAGAAGCAGCAGTTTGTGTCAGAGGAGGCTTGTGAAAGTTCACCAACCCCCACCCATCCACTCTCACGTGTGTTTCTCTCACAATGGAAACTTTTAGCCTCTGAGTGGGAGGCGGGATCACGCTCCGAAGGGAGAGAAAAAAAAAAAAAAAAAAAAAAAAAAAAAAAAAAAAAAAAAAAAAAAAAACCTTTCTCGCCGCTTCCTTGATCATGCCACTTCTGGAAACTTGCTTCAGCTTAGAGCTCTCTACGCTCACGCTGTTGTTCTGCTCGCTCTAATCTCTGATTGTCAACAGTCGTGAACAAAACGGCAGCCACATGCAGCCCGTCATCTAGAATGGCTGCTAAAAATACTGCTAAGGGGCAGAGCATGTGCTGTGCAAACCGCGAGATGAGACTTGGCACTCAGTCTCAGAGCGCACAGGAAATTTTTTAAACTGCTGCAGCGTTGTCTGATGACACTCTCACGAGATTACACATTAGGTTCCCCCCCCCTTCAAGCCTTTAAAAGCTGTGGTGGAAAAACAAAACTTTTTCTTCCTTTGAAGAAACAAGCCACAAACTGTAGTCACGCAAGTACATGCAGTCGTGTCAGCTGTGATGCATAATCATAGCACACGTTTTAGTTCCCCTGTTGCCCGCGGGGGGGAACATCGACCGGCTGAGGGGAGTGAAGGACAAAATGGCCGAACCTATTTAAGGTCAGAAAGACTGCCGATAGAGGAGCTGCTCAGAGGCACACCCCTCCCAAACAGTCGTCTGTAACGCCCACGAAACACCAACAGGCTTTTTGTCTGATCGCTGAGCTGATGCAGCAGCAAAGTCAGAAAGGTGAGGAGGAAGAGGATGTGCTTACCTGGGGGAGCAACTCTGTCCTGATAGGTGGGTTTGTCTTTGCTTAACGTTAGCAGCAATGCCTGAATGGTCCCAACGAAAATTCCAGCCAAGCATCCGTAGAAAATCAGATAGAACAAGAGGATTTTAACTGTAGAGGAAGGAAGAGAAATCAAATTACTGAGATGAAAGCAGCAAGAAAGAAACTGCTTCAAATGTGAAATATAACATCGCCTCAGATTTCGGAAGTCACAAGACGGACTGCTTTATTAGAGCATGTCTAGCATCAGCTACCCAAAACCCAGGAAAATGTACTGCATTTCTTCACAACAGCAACATATCCTTCATAAACCCCTTTCCCAGGTTCTTTTCACCTAATTTAAAGTTTAAACAGATCACGCAGAAGGTGGGATGGCTGTGCTTCCAGAGCAACAGGATGAGTCACTGTTCAGTCCTGCAGACCCCCCCCCTCTCCCGGCTGTGTCACCTTCAACAATTAGGATTAAAAGAAAAGAAAAGCCCTTGTTCATGCTCCTGTGCATAGAAACGTGATGAATTAAGGCAAACGCGTCATTACACGAGTGAACAAAACTGTAACGGCACATGCTTCCCTGTATGATGCAATCAAACCATCAGCATCATATTTCCTGATTTTCCCCATCAGATTTTTGGCGTTCCAGAGGAAAATAAGTTTTGAGATCAAACAAATTTGTAAATTGTAAGTGTGGTTTAATTTCAGCAAGCTTTAAAAGGTTGTTGTTGTTCAGATGGCCAAAACAGTGGCGGTGGGGGATGCTTGAACCTCTGTTAACTAAGGTAACAAAGACTCTTTGTAACTCTATGCTCAATTGTGCTTAAGGGCGTAGTCACCTCCGAAAAGCCCCCGGACACCCAGTTATGATCTGTGGCAGGTTAAAAATGCTGATTCTGATTTTCTATCAAGTAGAAAAGAGCTCAGCGAACCTGAAAGGAGGTTCGCTTTAAGGCCTTTAAAGGCCACTTGGCTAGCTGCCTGTGATAGCAAAGACGCAAGCAGAATTTGTTTGGCGTTTCCCCCTCAAATCCCCCCCCCCAATACAGAGCATGATTAGACTCTGGGATGAGTCTAGTCGGGCCCCAAGCGGTGGCTGCTAGTGTCCTATGAAGCAGTGCCTGACAATAGGCGCGGGTTTCTGACAGTTCTGTCAACTCCTAGGAGTGCGCCATCTCGGAAAAATATGCTGCAATAACCGCCTGCTGTGCAGGGGAGGTGAATTTGCAAAACAAATAACGGCTTATTCCTCGTGTGCGCGCAAGTGAAAAGATGTCAAACAGGTGCGGCACGCAGCAGGAAGGACCATCCAATCGGGTGTTCTTTACCCGTCTTGGCCTGTTGAAATCAGAACAGGATCAGCTACAACATTAGAACCGCCTGCCTGAAACTTTGTACCCTCTGTGTGCGCTGCAATGGTAACTGGCAGCAGACTTTTTTGGCTTTATCAGACCAACATTTGGGGGGTGTCTTGAGGTCAGGCCAATTTCACGGTGTGCTTGGAGCAGTCACCTTATCATGGGGGAGGGAGATGTTTGAAGGCACCACAGATGTTAAAAGAAAGACATGGCACTCAGAAATAGTGGTGGAAGTAAAACATTAGGAGAAAAGAGCTTTTAAAAACCTCTCTGGGGCAAATTCAACAAACTTTTGGGGCAGTTTTCAGAGCTGACTGGAGATTCTACGCCTCTGAAACTCAGCTCATTTTAGATCATGCTTCAAAATGGCTGCCAAGTGGCAACACTAGGAGGGCTTTGATGGTCTGTGTCAGAGTAAAGACCCATTGGATTGCCAGGAGATTCCTCAGAAGCTTCCGTCGTGAGGGCGGCTGTTCGCGCCGTTAGTGGTTTTAATGTTGTGGCTGAGTATGTGTACAGCCTGTTGTCTGGCTGTCAGTTTGTGTGATTTCACCTGAGCGATCGGAGCGGCCTGAAACGCTGCAGGGCTCAGAGTAAACAGCATGGAGGGAGACGTAGGGGGTGGTGAAAGGCAGCTTCTGAATTGAGAGCACCTCCCCCAGCAGGCTGCTGCAGCACGCCGCGAAGGGACTGTCCCCGCATTCATACCACGCTCGCAGAGGCCTTCACCAGCCCCGCAGCCTACTTTCCGTCTGGCATGTTGAGACAAACACGTGGAGGAGACGTAACGAGCGCCAAGACTGACGCTGTCACCGCGCCACTTCCTGTCTGTCTTTATGAAAAGTGCAAGCGACTCACATGGCACACAATTAGCACGAGTGTTTTACTGAAACACAGTTTAATGTGCTAATGATTTACTCTGTACTGCACACTGTAGGTTTTAAAGTTTTGCAGATTTTAAATTATACATCTACCAGCATATGATGCTGCAAGTAAAGGCACCAATCTGTGTTATCTGTATTTGACTGCTTTTGTGCCAGTTGATTGTTTAAAAAGAATAAAAAAAAATAAAATCCCTGGTCCAGTCGAACATGTTTTTGGGCTTTCACTGTAGCTACGAGGATGATTTTGGGGGTGGGACAAAACAAAGAGGCTTAAAATTTATCATCTGTCATCTTATTTAGTCAAGCTCAGATACTTTTGTTTATTAAAGGGGGGGGGGAGGCAGAAAAAGTAACAGGAAAAAGCACAGACTTCTGTTAAGTGACGTTAATTGACACCCCTCCCCCAAAAGGCCCATTTCAAACCAGAAAAAAAAAGTCCTTTATGGAAAAACCTGACCGTCATCCACCATGAAAACACTGAGCAGATGACGGTGCTGTGTTCATGATCCGGATGCGTTTGTAGTAAAAAAAAAAAAATCCAATCAGGGCTTTTTTCTTTACAGTCTTGAAATGAAAGAGGACTTTGAAGCGTAAGAATATTTATGTGCCATTTAATTAACCCAAACTAAAATAAATCAGTGGTTATGAAATGACCAAAAATAAGACAACCACAGAGGCTTGTGTCAAGTTGGAGGATACAGACTGGGTCACACTCAGAGGCTTTTTCTGAGCCTCAAACAAGTCTGTGATCAGCGCTGTGGCCAGAGATGCTTTGAGCAGACATACCTGTTGCTGCTAAAGCAACATGGCTCACTGCGTGTGCTCCACGGGACACTGAACTACCAGCCTGGTAACCCCACACCACCACCTAGAACATGGAGTGAGTGAAATGTTCCACCCGAGAGCAGCTCCTGATTTTAATCGCCACACACAGCCGTGTTTTGAGCCACAGAGAATTACAGTTTCTCAGAAATAAACGTGTTAGTTTGAAGCTTTCATTAAGCCCCGAAGAATGCGCTTTAACGCGCACACAGCGACGCCTCATTTCTTCCAGGATAAAAATACAGAGAGGGGAGGCCCGGGAGACATGCGAGTCGTGATCACAGTGTTACCGTGCGGCGTCCGGAGAGGAGGGGGAGACGCGCACATACGCGCCATATCTGACGTGCAAAACGGTTTAACGAGCCTAATTGGCGCTATGTAATGCAGGGCAGTGATCCCATCAACCGCTGCGGACCGCGTTAGGCGTCTTAAAGTATTGAAAACGGCGCTGAAACGATTAGAGCCGGATCCAATAATCCCGGGTTCGAGTTAAAACGTGGGGAAGGCAGAGCTGGGCCCGGGTGTCGGGTCCAGGGATCAGCTGCTCGGGTTTATTAAAGGCAGGAATAAAATGTCCTCAGCCCTTCTCCTGCTCCCCGCGGAGGGCTGACACTCAGAACAACAAAATAAACGGCGGCAGCTACCAACTTGTTGGTTCAGGTAAAAGTCTCGGCTGTCCTTCAAGATGACCTTTTCAGAAAAGACTGCCGCTAATCAATGAGCTGATCAGGGCTACGCCTTCGTAATGAACACCTATGACCGCGGGAGCCCTGAAAAATGCACAGAAACACCCCAAAAGGAGGAAATCATTTACGTCCACGGAGACCAAATTGGCTTATTGTCCTCATTTACTGTCCTTGTTTTGGACACCGATCGATCCGTACCGAGCACTCCTTCTTCGTGTATCACCTTTTTTCACTTCATTCTCGTTTTAAACACCAACTTGCGCACGCAGCCTCCGTTAAAAAGGCAAAGTCACGACTCGGCGCGCCTCCGGCTGGGAGCTCTAACAGGTGCGAACGTCTGCACCGGCAAAACATTGAGTCAAAATACAAATAATCCGCTGTGAGCACGGTCGGTTTCCACTCTGCTCCATCATCAACAACCAGCAGCCCGCCTGCCGGAAATAAAGAACAAAAAGAGTACTCACACCAGCTGCCTCCTGTGCGCCCTAGAAACTCCTTCTTTTCCGAATTCCACACAAAATTCTTCCATCCTCCGTCGCTGTCTTTATTTCCAGACATGGTAACTCCCCCCCGTGTCGCTTTCTCTCTGCTTTAACGGCTCTGCTGCGTCTCAGTTCTCAGGCTGAGACTGTCGACTGTCCCTCGCAGGAAACAGAAAAGGACAGTCGATTGCGCGTTGCTCCCACTTGTACCGCGCACTATTTATCTCAGAGGGGAAACCAGTGACTCCGCCTGCAAACTCTGTGAACAAGTCCAGCCCCGGAGAGGAGGGCCGAGGGTAGCAAATCACAACCTGCCCCTGCTCAATGCAAAACAGCCAAACAGAGAGCGGCAGTTAGAGGTAGGAAGGCTAATCAGCACACGGAGAACACGACTTTCAGTCAGTCTACGTTGCAGTCATGGCAAGCATCAACCTGACTCTGGGGTGGGGGAGAAAAAGACGGGAAGAAAAATATGACCTGTAGTGTCAGGAAACCTCCAGGGTCGGATCTAGAAGGGTGGCGTCGGGTGGCATGTGCCACGCTACAATGATATCTTGCCACCCTAGTTTTGCATATGACAGTGTTGTCTATTAAAATAAGCTAGCATTAACAACTTGAGCCTAGCTACAGTTAACACTGAATATAAGAGGGGCAAGTTATGGGAGTGATGGCAGCAAGACAGAGTAAGCGAGTGAGAGAGAGAGTTTTGAGATGGGAGAGATTTGCGACGTTTAGCGTGGAGTGTATAGTTAGCGTGTTGTGTTATCTTGTATAGTTAGTGTTTTGTGTCGTTGTTGTTTTTGTGTGTAAGCGAGGGTACTAATGAATTTCACAAAGGCAGAGTGCAATGTAGTCAAACGTCTCCAGGTGGAAAACAAACAAAAAGGCTTTGATTTTGCCACCCTATTTGATTTCCATGCCACCCTCATGCCACTCTAAGAACATTTCTCTAGATCCGCCCCTGAAGGGGTCCAACATGAAGCTAATGAGGAAGTTAAAAAGCTGCAGTTCCTCTGATGGCCACTGGAGGCTTCAGCAGTGAATCAGGGCCCATAGACTCCATAGCAACTGTATAGAGTTAATTTAAAAACGAACAAACCTTCTTTTAAACATTATTAATGTTTAATGTTAGAGGCGTGCCTCTTTGACCGACAGGTGGATAACGACACAGGTAAGGATAGTAACTGATAAAAATTTAATGATTGTGATTCCTCATGTTTACCAGTTAATGACATAAATCTATAGGCTACAGCACCACACACCAACACAAACCCCTATTCTTCTCATATAATCTTACTCTTAGCATATAGGTATGAATGGAAAACAAATATGAAAACCAGCACAAAGACACTTTTCAAAGCAATCATCACAGAGAAACATGAACAGGTGAAACGGAGGCTGCTCATCTGTTTGTTACCCGTTTAAGTTCAGGGTCTGGCTGCTGGGCCGGATCAAGCAAAATAGACCCAAACTCACCAAACTTCAGCCAAGAGAGTGTGTGAGAGGATCCGTCCACAGCACAAGGTTAGAAATGAATGATGTGCAGTGTGGTTTGTATTACTCTTTATAAACATCCTGACCCTGCTTTTCATGTCCACACTGAAATGTTGGTCAGACCGAGACTGATTCTTTTCTCAAATATTCAGTGGAGAGGCTGAGCTTGATGACTGAATAAATTTTGGGGACTCGCATTTGTTGAAAACAGAAAAGACAAAGAACTGCGACACGTTAAACAAAAGGAGAGCCTCGGTCCAGGAAACAGGGCCAATACATCAGCAGCGAACATTAGTCACAAAGGCTGCGTAAGGATTTTACAAAAGGACAGACTCACTTAAACACAACAACCTTGTTATTATTACTAGATGGTAGCAAATTGCTGTTTTTAATTAGAATAACAATACAATAACTTTAGAATGAAAATCATTCATTTATGTTAAAGTCTGAGTTATGTATGAAAAAGGTGAAGCAACAAACTGTCATGTGACCAGAACAAAAAAGAGGAAGAGATGTTCAACATGAAAGGATAAGGGAAGGGAGTGACGTACATTGCAGCATGACATTTAACTTTAACCTGCAGCTCTAAAAAGCACCTAATCTGTTGTTTTTGGTGGCTGAATTCATCATTTATAGAGGTGATTACAACTTAAGCGCTGAAGTTCAGAGTCACACGATTGTTAATCACATTAATCACAGATCCCGCTATGGTGAGACATCCGAGAGCGAAGTCATGACTGGACACCCGAGAGGTAGTCATCATTGCCAAATATATTAGTGAACACTGCATAAGACAAAGGAATTTCACAAGGAGCTGAGCAGAAGTAGATGGCACTGCTTGATTCATGGTGGTTTACAGAAGCCAGCACTCCAGGACAGTCTGGGTTTTATCAAAGCCTACTACCATGGGTGAAGTGCAGTTAACATATCACTGTATTTTCCTGCTTATATTATCCTCAGTAAGGGAAATCTGTCACCATAAAGACAGAACATTTTGCCGTTGTCTGTGGAATATGATGGAAACTAGCACATGCTAAAGGAAACGAACCAATGAAAACCAAAATGACTAACTCTGCTGAGTGAAGCCAATGGAAAGCTATTCTCAGTTTCTGTTTTTTTGTTTGTTTTGTTTTTTTGTAAATTTTGACTTTAAAGTTTTGTGGGATAAGTGACACGGTCCATGTGATCTTCACAAGAACGCTGTGGTTAAAAACATGCTGATATGCAGATGCAGCCCAAGTGAAACCAGACAGACAGAACTGCAGCTAAAATAAGTTAAAACAGTTTCAACAGCTAAAAAATGTTGACCTGTATGACACCTTTTAGACAACTTTATTTTTTTAATTGTCAAGGATCTTGTATAACAACACTGATTCCATGTGAGAAAAAGATGCCTTTTACTAGATTTTGCTGCTAGCTTCCCAGTTGCTGCCCTTAGGCAGGTGCACGCAATATTAAACGATCTATAAAATATAAAATGCATATCAGAGACATACAATAAAACATGCACGCAATGCTTAAAAGCACTGCATCTACCACTCCCACCCACAAAACACATTCACCGTGTTGACATTGTGCATGCAGTGTTTGAAGCAAACAAGAAGTGACATGTTCTTCTGTAAATTTCCTCATGCAGCAAATTTATGATCTAACTTCTTGAATAAGACAGACAGGACCGAGTAGAAGGTTTATCACCTGTATAAAAATGTAGGCCTCCATATGATGCAGAAACACCAGCAACACAATTCTTCTTGTAAAAAAATACTGTTAGCTCAGAGAAATATAAATTACCTGAGGTAGACGGCGATTAAAAGGTGTGACAGCAACGACGACTCCATGTCAGTTTGTGGGAGCAGATCTTATCAAAACAGAATTTCTTTGTTAATACATGTTTCGGAAAACTGTGTTTAGGAAATGAGAAGAGAAATATTCAGAAGTTCAAGTTCAAATATATAAAAAAGAAGAACGAAAAAGCACCTTAACTTCACCAATAATATTAAAAGTGAACAGTGTAATGCACTGCTTTGGAAAGCCATTGATAGTGCAGTGATAACACAGCGGCCTACTGTTAACAGGCATCGAGGGTTTGCCAAGATTACCAGGAGGTGCAGCATTCTGAGAGCGACTGTGGATGGACTGTGGTATGCAGCATTCGAGCTGGTCTTGAGCTCACCAACAATAGTGAGTCTATGCAGAAACCACTGTTGGATCAGCTCTTTGGATATGGACCAAAACATCTCAAATCAAAACCGGAAAAAATGAGGTGTAATAAGAACAAAAGAAAAAAGAACTTCAAATAATGAACTGTTTTCATGCCAAGTTCACAGAAATGTCTTACAGTCTAAATTTTAAAAGTGATGTGATAAAGTGAATGTAATATTGCTAACTAATATTAAAAATACATTCAGTCATTGGACTTTACCACTGTCTGGGATTTTTGGGGTGAACTTTTCTGTTTTCGATTAGGAACCTTAATAAATTCTTTGAATCCATTTAATTTCCCAGCATTTTGGTACGAGCTAATTTTTTGCATCGTTTATCCAATAAATGACTGTTACTGAGCTGCTTTGCTTGTTTTTCTTTGCCATAGTTTTAATCTGGCATTCCTGTTCTTGACACTGACTGGTGATGATCAATGATAAATGTCATGCACTTGGCTGGATGCCGTGAAAGGAAGGGCATTTCTTTATCAGGTAAAGGATCCTGCGATCATCCACCATTTCATCCTCAGTAGATGCCAAAACCTGTTTTAATGCATTTTAATTTTGAATGAACAGTAGAAATGTGCAAAAGCTATTCTCTTTCTTGTGTGAGCGTGTGCTGTACTTCATATTTCTACTTCACAGACTGTCCACAGCTGAAACAGCTCGCACTTCACAGCTAAACTATTTTCCACTGGCTTAGTTTCTTATTAATAGATACATTATCTGCTTTTTTGTTGTTGTTTATTGTGACTAATTCAAATTAGAAAGTCAAGTCAGTTCATTTAGAAACACATTTATCAAGTGGCACTCATCCATTAGTGGACCACTTCTGGATGAGTGAATGGACTCTGCCGGTGCTTCTGTCATCAATGTCCAGCTCCACTTTCAACAAAACCAAATATGCAGAAATATAAATTACATCAGGTAGAAATAAAGTGACTTTCTGTCAGGGGAAAGCAAGGCAAGCAGTACTTGTCAAGTGTAAACTAAAACAGTCTGTCAGTTAAAATATACCAACATAGAAACATCTCTCTTTTCATCTCATATGGCAGTAAAGAATACATTAACACAGTGCATTTGAACAAAGTGTGACTTAAAATTTAAAAGATAAATGATTAAAATGGAAGTGAATCACAAACATCAAGGACATAATGAAGTCTATTACATAACTTACAGAAATGTAAAAATTAAAAGACACAGAGGTACATTAGGAAGCCATAACAGCAAATGCTCAATTCGCTTTAGCTGAAAATATCAAGCAGGAACAGTTCATCTCAGTTCATTTTGAATTTATTTTACATGCTGTCAAATTAAATAAAAAAATAAAAAAAACCAAAAAAAAAAACCCCAACAATCATATGATCCCTTAATGAGCAAGCACTTGGCGACAGTGGGAAGGCAAAACTCCCTGTTAACAGGAAGAAACCTCCGGCAGAACCAGGCTCAGTGAGGGGTGGCCATCTGCTGCGACCGGTTGGGGGGTGAGTGGAAAAAAAGTTTTTTTAGGTGTCATCTGCCTCAGAGTGGCAGATGACAC